CTTTTCTTTTGATGAACTATCTATTTATAAAATCAGCGGATAAACTCTTTAGTTATCACACGCAAGCTGAATTGTTTGGGTGAATGTACAACAGTTTACAATGAAAACAACCTGATATGGGATTCACGTGACATTTCGTCTAACGATCGAATGGGGATATCATTTCAACTTGGTTTTTGATTCGCTAAATCACCTTGGCCGGACAAACGTTGATCTGTGTGCTGCTGTAACGCCTTTCGATTTTACAACTGAGGATGAGTTCGAACAAACTCTTGGTTCTGCAGATAATCTTGCACAATACATTACATCAATGAAGTGGACGTAGGTAGGTGTCTAAGCGCAATAAAAATTGTACAAAATCCGCGTTTGTCCACAACTGATCAAGGTTTTCCGAAAGACCCGAAGGGCCCGCAGTAATACCTTAGTTTGAAGAAATAACAGGCGGCGCATTCGACTGACACAACGAGAACAGTTTCGGAGTCACTATCCGAGGCATCGGATGAACGAAATGAATCATCAGTTTATTCTCGACAATGTGACTGCGTCTAGCGGATTAATGATAACAATAACGTCTCATGTTGGGTGTCCTAGATCGACATTCCGACATGACCAAGGATGTCCTCTGCTGATTAACGGCCAGACACTGGAAACATGAATTGAGTGCTTCCACTGTTTGATGTGGACCAACCGGTATATTCGTTATGGGCATGAGTAACAATGTTCAATTTATGGTACATGACACGCAGTTGGTTAACGAGTTTACCCAAATAGGATTTAGGCGCGCGAATAACGATTGAGTTACATAAATTACATAAAACCAACTAGGTCGATGGCATTGTGCGACCGTCATTGTGGCACGCTTTGACTAATAATAGTACCACTTGTTGTTTTAAGTAGACAGTACCCTCATCAGGGCGCCCAGTCTTAGATGTGAGGGTGACTAGTGTCTTCATCTGAAGCCTTTGGCTCAAAAGCCTAACTTCAGGAAAGCGCTATGTAGCGTAAGACCGTCGGAGTGTTCCACATTTTTAACGAAAAAGTAGCCACACGCTTTCCAACCCGATACCTGGAGAGAGTTTCAGCTGGTATTCATGAGAATCTCCGGTGAAATCCAAATCGGTACGCCAGTTGTTTTCTGTAGGTAATTTCATGAGGTTCGGGTTCAAGAAGAACATAAGGTCGACGGAAATTCAGAGGTTGTGCCCGGCTGATGGTCCTCAAGAACAGCAAAACCGGTCGCGGGAAGTCGGAGAATTTACGGTAACCCTATAACTAGTTTCCGTCATGAAAAAGGCATTATGTCATTACGAGATATCCATAGTTTCTGTAGGACAAAGCCTACATTGATTCATCCTCTGTACGTTGCGAACTGTGTTGTCACTGTGAAGGCTCAACTTCTCCGGCAGTGCACACTCAAAAACTTTCCTTCGTTGTTACAAGACAATGCGATCGTTATCTCCGCTGGTGAAAACAGTACCCACCGAAATAAGTTGGTGAAATTAAACTGAACGATGAGTAAGCCGAATACTCTCAGAGTTAGGGTGGGGGTGTACATTGAGGAAATTCAGGAGTCGCATCGCAAGCGCCTCGACCCTTGATAACAACCGGAAAATGACGTGTGAAATTGTTGTATCTCTTCCCCTTCCATGAAGCTACCAGGCTATAGTCAGAAGACAAGACGGCGGCCAGAAAATACTGTATATAAATGCGAATACAGTGCTCTATTTATATCATTCACTTGTGACCATATTTGTTGGTCAATCTGTCCTCAACCAACCAGTAGGTCTCCTGCACGCCCACAATGGTTCTCAATCGGTTGTTTTCGTTGTCAGGGTTAGTCATAGATGGTCGTCTGTGTGACTAACTACGGGGCGTACGTGTTGCCTTGGCAATCGAGTGGGCTTGAGACGAATGTGTACTTTTTGACCTTGATCAGGCACATGATGAAATCGGACGTGATTCGGACGCGTGGGCTTACTCGTACGGTACTGCTCCATCACATGACTGTTCCGCTGCGCAGTAGGCCGATGCGTGGCTGTATTAGGAGTAGGGTTTACAATTGAGATAAAACAGTTCGATATATGTGCAAAATCATGACCACCCATGTGTAGTTCTCAAGAGCGAACATCTACCATGATCATTTGAGACCGTTTGACTCCCTCAAAGGCCAGAAGTCACTTGGTGGTTGAGTTGCGCTATCAGCTCCAGAGAATCATCACTGAAGTAATTAGATATGCTTAGGTATAGTGGCTTGAATCTCCGTTGGATCGTGAAACCATTTTCCACTAATTCCAATGGTGAACGACCCATTTGCACTTTTTGGGCAACATGGTACATCACCTAGAATTTGCATCTTGAAAAGTGGTACCTGAGCATCTGATCAACCCTGATTTTGGTTTGGACAGGATAGGATTTTCACTGGTAGTTCTAATCAAAATTTGCTACATTCTAGAGTTGATTTGCTTGTAAGTTTTGGCAAACACAACTCAAAGCTTTTCAGTCAACTGGAAAATGTTCGGGACCGATTGGGAAGTCATCGTTTCAGAGGGGTTTGGTAAACGACCGGTGGATTTATTGCTGGGAAACGTTTTGCTTTTGACACAAAAGCTTCGTCAGGCCAAGTGAGTACGTGAGTAGGTTGATTGGGTTTTTAAGGCAGTCGGGGAACCAATCCGTGAGATCCCTTATGACTAGTGACGTGATCAGTGCTGGGTGTTCAGTCTGATGTTCCTGTTTGTTGATTAATGGGGATGACTAACATTTACGATAGACTGGTTAGGGGGGGGGGTGCGTCTTTATGACGAACCCGGATTTTTTAGTCCTTGCTTCTTCAGTCTGGGACACCTTACTGGAAACTTCCTCTTGGGGTCGTTCACAGATTTCGTTCACCTGTGTTCGTCCAAGGGTGCTGGGACAATGGTTTGGGGATGGGGGTGGGGTGGTTAACTGGATCTAACTCTACTTGGATTTTTGTACTTTTAGACCCAGGCGATTTCGCTGATAATTGCACACCGCCTCGTGTCATCTCGGGCTGATCTAGACCGCTCTCCACACGCTTGCAAGTTCTACCCCCTCTATTCGCTTCTGTGTCAAAAGCGAAACGTTGGCCAGCAAGAAATCCACCGATTGTTTACCAAACCTCTCTGAAAACAAAGCTGTTTTAAAGCACGAATTTTAACCTCTTAATTCCCCACGGTCAAACCAAATAAGCTCAAGCCTTCGTTACGCACAGAACTTCAATCTCCAACATTCGATAGAGACAACACAAAAGTAATCAAATGAGTAAGCAAATCAGAGGTAGAAAGATTGTCAGTTCATTAAACAAGACGGCTTTCGAACTCGAGCACGCGCAAATCACGACTCACAAGCATGCGAATCTAAGGGGGCACAGAGGAGGTTTTCCGCGCGGCAGAACATGTTGAACGGTAAAACAGGTTTGGATAGACCAACATACAGTGGGTCAATACCGTTCATTAAGATTTCCCAAGGAAACTGCAAAGACCCACAAATTATTCAGAAATAATTTATTTAGGGATTACGGTGCTGCTGAGACCACTACACAACCAAAGGGGTCGAATAACCAGCACAGAGCCTAGAAAAACTGGAGGTCACTGAAACCAGTGTGTCTGCGTTGGCATATGTGCGATCATTGAAAGACGGAAGCAATGGAAATTGTCTGAACAACAAAGGGGTTAGGATGGCCCCATGCAGAACACAGAAGTTAATGGGGAGCGGGAAGGAATTTTGTTGACTGTAGAAAGGGCATTGCAACCACTCAAGTCAGCGGTTGTGGACAGTATTGACTTAATCACGATCGAAAGTCATTATATGAATGGTGTTTCAGTGAATAACAAATTCCGAGCCTCCCAAAAGTATTTGGGTAGTCACAGAACAGCTACCTAACTACTTCACTGTTTGAAAATTTGTTTGTTGTAAACAAGTGACCCAAATGAATCGCAGCTGAATATCACAAACGAGAAATTCAGCTGCTTATGCTAAGCTAGTCGTAAATGGTTTCGGGATTTGTAGAATTCACTTTCACATCGCTCGTCTCAGCATTCCTTCTATCCTAGTGAAAAATTTACCAGTCAAGTAGAAGGTAGGTCTGACGGAAGCTAGGGGATTGTGTTCACCTAATGAGCCCCAAAGACAGCGACCACGTGACCTGTCGAAGAGTTTGCAGTAAGTAACTCTATGAGTAGTTTCCTCTAAGAAAACTAATCCTGTCAACGAGGTATTCCGGTATCACCTCCTTCAGGTAAAAAAGTTATTCGTGTTGTATAATGAACCAAACTGATCGTTATGCAGGTTACAAAGCACTCTTCTTCACGTTGTGGAACTTATCCCACCAGATAATGACCGAACATTTTGCAAACGAGAAAATACGTTAGACTCTCCCGGCTTCGGCTCAACTTCTTCACATTCGTGAACTCTGCATGCCGCACAGTAACCTTTCACAGTTGCTATTGATGATTAAAAACTCCCAAAGGAAACAAGCTTTTTGACTGCTTACTATCTGAGCGACCGCATGTCCGGTTCATCTGCCTCATTTACGAGGTCTAATCTCTGATTTATGTACGAGCGGGGGTGCCAGCAATTGTTTTACCGACAATCGTGCCTCTTATGCTGACCGGTTCAAAAAGGTATGGATTTCCCAACACGGTGCGCACCCAATCCATTATGCGTTTTTTTTTAAATAATCCACCCACATTCCCCTGCAGGCAAGACGCCTATTATTCTTGTGTGCTGGCCAATCGCGTCCATAATCTTTACCTTTCAGGGCACGCAAGCCGTAGCACCCATGCCACACCCGCTCCCGTTAGGCATCGATCGTGTTTGGCGTTCTCTGATTGGCTTGTTACCGAACGACCGAAGTCAGCAGTACACACGTTGAACAGGGAAATCAATAAGAGGAAGAATCCTGTTTGTGCCCAGCTCAGTGGTTCACATTTCGCTTTTCACGCTTGTTCGGATTCGGTTAACGTTCGTGCCCCTGAGATTTTCTGAAAGGCCTTTCAAACATGGACGGCATCAAGAAGAAAATGATCGCAATGAAGCTGGAAAAGGAGAATGCAATGGAAAGGTGCACATTAAATCTGCTAGACTGACCAAGTTTTCGAACGTTTAGGGCTGTTCAGTACGAGGCACAACTGAAGCAGAAAGAAGAAGAACAGGAGAAGAAAGAAACTGAGATTGGTGAGCTCAATAACCGAATGAAACAAGCCCAAACCGAATTGGATGAGATTCAGGAGGCGCTCCAGGACTCGTTGAATAAGATGGAGGAGACGGACAAACGGGCGACAAACGTAAGTGTGTTTGAAGAGACAAACAAATAAGTTTAAAATGTTTTTACCCTGTGTCCTGGTTGAGTAGTAACTAGAGGACTCTGGGACAGCCTACAACCCTAACGCATGCTATGTATTAGTGAACCACCGGAGTTTTTAAGATCTTCGGATCTTAGTATTCGTTCTCAGCTTACCAACGGTGTTCACGCTCAGAATCTGCTTTCCATATTTACACCACTTTGGTCGACGAGCCTCATGGGTGGAGACCCTTTGTAAATAAAACCACACTAACGAGCAAACAAACGATGATCCAATTGGATTCTAAACAAACTTCTTAAGTGGATTCTTTAAATGTTGAGAGTCATGGAAGGCGGGAGTTGCAAAGCCTATCCATTCGCTCAA